CTCCAGTCCCTTCCCCAGCCTCGTTGCTCTCCTCTGGACCTGCTCCAGCACCTCAATGTCCTTCCTGAGTTCCCTGTGCCTCATGCTGTGGCAAAGCTCAGGAGAACCTGTTTGCTCAGCCAGCCAACCTTCCCTCTTCTCCTTCTTCTCTTTTTTTGGAAGGAATGGAGTACAAGGAGGAGATGAAGGGTTTGATATCCCTGGGGAATTACCCAAACCCTCCCCACAGGTGGTTGTTTTGTTCAGGTGGTGAGGGCAGGGAGTTGTGTCTGGGGGGTGAAGGGAGGGGGGAGCAGATGTGCGGGGAGAGGACGTTCAATCCCAGGCTGGTTTGGGTTGGAAGGGATCTGAAAAATCATCCCAGGTTGCTCCAAGTCCTGTCCAACCTGGCCTTGAACACTTCCAGGGATCCAGGGGCAGCCACAGCTTCTCTGGGAATTCTCTCTCTCCCAGCCCCTCACAACTCTCCCAGGGAGGAATTCCTTCCCAATATCCCGTCTATCCCTGCCCTCTGGCAGTTTGAAGCCATTCCCCCTTGTCCTGTCTCTCCATCCCTTGGAAATAGTCTCTCCCCATCTTTCCTGGAGCTCCTTCAGGCCCTGCAAGGCGACAATCAGTTCCCCCCAAAGCTTCTCCTCTCCAGGCTGAACAATCCCAGCTCTCCCAGCCTTTCCTCCCAGCAGAGCTGCTCCAGCCCTGGGATCCTCTTGGGGCCTGCTCTGGCCTCTCTCCAGCAGCTCCATGTCCTCCCTGTGCTGGATCCCAGAGCTTGTGCCTGTTACCAGAGGCATTTGTTGGCCTCAGCCACAAACCCAAATGAGGCATTTTCATACTTTTATCAAAATGTAAATTGTGGTTTGTGGTTGGTGTCCTGCACTCCTCCTGCACCTTTGGCAGAAGTTCTGGCTGTTGCTTGAGTGGGAATTATCCCGGGAGGACAGAACAGCAGGACTCAAACACCCACTAGAGAATGACACCCACAGCTCGGGGCTGCTTCTCTAGAAAAGAAATGTTTGAAACTGCAACTAAAATAGCTCAGAAAACTCACATTTTCTTCTCAAGCCTTCATTTGCCTGAGTTGCACCATGCTGCTGCATGTGTTTAGTGGAAAAATCTGACCTGTAGTTTTTTGGACTCGAGGACAGACTTTCAAACAAAAACTGCTGGCAGGGTAAAGCTTTTTATTTAGTTTGGTTTGTTGTTTTGTTTTTGTTGTTGTGTTTTGTTTTTTTTTTTTTTGGTTGAATTGTCCCTGAAAAAATCTCCCCAGCGAAGCAGGCAGCTGTGCACATGAAAAAGATATTTGTATATGCAAGTGGCAGATTTGTGTATGCAACGACCTGGGCATGCTCAGGGTTTGCAGACAACAAAACAAACTTTAGTTCTTTGAATATACATCTGCTGGAAGGCTAAGAAACAAACTCATCCTGCAGGCACAGCTTCTGCTCTAAATCAATTCTTCAGTTGGTGTAATAGTTAATATTTAATAAGATTCTACATTTTAAAAAGGAAGTGGAGATATGATATGGGCAGAGAGAACATACGTGTCTTCCCGACCCAAATGTGTGCAAAAGCTTCCTGGTGGTTAATTTAGGATGTTGGAAGCAAATCAGCTGCAGGGGGGAGGAGGTTTTCTGCCTGTCCTCAGGAAAGGTCCCTGTGGGAACCCCCCCTGCAGGAATGCACAGCTCCTTTATTGCTGAGTCACTCCTGACACAGCACAGAGGGGTGATGGGATCACAGGGTCATGGAATGGGTTGGATTGGACCTTAAAAAAGAGCTCATTCCAACTCCCTGCCATGAGCAGGGACACCTTCCACCAGCCCAGGTTGCTCCAAGTTTATCCAGCCTGGCTTTGGACACTTCCAGGGATCCAGGGGCAGCCACAGCTTCTCTGGGAATTCTATCCCAGCCCCTCCCCACCCTCACAGCCAACAATTCCTTCCCAATATCCCATCTAACCCTGCCCTCTGGCAGTTTGAAGCCATTCCCCCCTGTCCTGTCCCTCCAGCCCTTGGAAATAGTCTCTCTCCATCTTTCCTGGAGCTCCTTCAGGTCCTGCAAGGCCACAATCAGGTCACCCCAAAGCTTCTCCTCTCCAGGTTGAACAATCCCAGCTCTCCCAGCCTTTCCAAAAGTACTGACTGTAAGGGGTCTATGAGGACATTCCCTGCCCCCAACTCTGTTTAATCACAGAAGTAGCATCTCCAGCTCCAAAAATGGCATTTTCATGGCATCTGCTTCTGGACCTTCTTTCAGAGCAGTGGGTGCCATTTTCCCCCCTTTTCCCCCAAACCCAACCCATTTCTGCAGCTTGGATTTGCCTCAGGAAATCAGCTGCCCCGTGAATCTTTGTGCCAGGGCCTCACCACCCTCTGAGCAAAGAATTTCTTCCTAATCTCTAATCTAACTCTGCCCCCTGTTAGTTAAAAACCATTCCCCCTTGTCCTGTCACTCTCTGCCTGCTTAAAAAGTCCCTCTCCCTCCTTTTTATAACCCCTTCAGGCACAGGAAGGGCCTCTGAGGTCTCACCAGAGCCTTTTCTTCTCCAGGCTGAGCAACCCCAGCTCCCTCAGCCTGTCAAATTGTGATATTACATTATTGTTGTTGTTCTTCTTCTTCTTATTATTATTATTACTGTATTATATTATATTCATTTTCACGTGGACTTAAAAGTCTTTGGGTTTGACTTCTCACCAAGGGTTTCCCAGTCCCAGTGGCAGCTGTGACCAGTCCAGTGTCTCTTCTCTCCCTATATTTGAGGGAGGTGTGGATTGTCCTGACTCCCACACGTCATCCTGTCGTGGTGAGATGTGTCAAACCATGCTGTGTGATAAAGGGATTGAAAATGGGATTGATCTGCTTGTACTGAGACCAGAATCAAAATGAAACTGCTGGATTAGAGCGTTTCTTGTTTCAGTAATGGATATTTGGGAATACTCACAGAGCCAGGAGTCACTCACTGAAGGAATTACAGAAAGATTGAGAAGTATTTTCTAAGATATCCTGACTCACAAGAGATTTGGGGGAGTCATGGGAACAAAATTAGATGCTGATGTCTTAGAGAAAGTCATGCTGAAGTCCAAAACCAACTCCAGCAGGTGTTTTTATTTACTGGCTTTCTCTGAGGGTTCCAGTGAGTGTCTGTGTCCTCTGTGGGAAATGCTGGAAGGTGACGGGCCAGGGCAGGGTCAGATCGGAGAGGAGGAACAATTTTTCCCTGCAGGAGTGGTCAGGCCTTGGAATAAGTGTCCCAGGGAGGTGGTGGAGTCCCTGTGTCTGGAGGTGTCTGGATGTGGCCCTTGGGGCCATGGATCAGGGGTGACCCTGGTGGTGCTGGGTGAGGGTGGCACTGGATGATCCTGAAAGCCTCTTCCAACCTGAATGACTGAATTTCTGCCTGTGCCTGTCCAGACAATAATTCCCATCAAATTGTCACAGCTCATCAAGAGACCCAAGATACTTAAGAATCTGGCTCTTCCTCCGCTGCTTTCACTACATATTTTTTTTTTAAATCTCTTTTGAACTCAGCATTTCTATTCTCTGCTTCTGAATAAATGCTTATTTTCAAAATGGGATTTTTTTTTTGTGAAAAGAAATCAGACTCCACTGTCAGGGAGAAGGGCAAGATGACCTAAGCCATCGTTTTCTTCTCCAACTTCTATGATTTCTATGATTCATAAAGCAATTTATGTTTTTATGAGCTAGGTCCATGGGGAAAATCATTAGCAGTAACCAGATCAAGAGTAGTGCTCCTGATGAAAATACTTTTGGTTAGGAAACTTGGTAGGAATAGTATGACTCTTAAATTAAATATTTCCCTTAGGCCATTTGACCTACCGTGCACGTCTGCTGAAAAATTAGGTTTTTTTCTTCTTTTGACTGCTTCCCTCTGTTTTCCTCATTGAATTGTTTTAACCTACATAGCTCTGAAAAATTCACTAATGGACCAGGTGCCTGAGAGTGAGGCAAAAAGGAAAAGGCTACATGGATTTAGCCCTGGTCCAAGGTTAAGCTGGGCATTAAATGTGATTATCCCCTG